AAAAATGTCACACTTCGGGAAACGGTGGCTGTATACCGAGTATAAACTAAGAGCAGTTACTCTGCGCCCAAGGATGCAGCACGTCTGCTGCAGGTGCAGGGTGACCAACAACGGCACAGCCATCCAACCACCAAGCATCCTCTGGGCTGTTCGCCGCAGCGACCCCTTGTGGCAGCAGCTAAAGCCACAAGTCAGGTGGGCTGGTCAGTAGCTTCAGGCTCCCTCTCTGCTTAGCCTTGGAAGCAAAACCGGTTTCGGATGGCATGCTCTGGAGGAAGATGCCGCCCTCTTCATTATGAAGAACGGCTGAGGCCTCTGACTGACTAATTAGAAACACAAAAGGGCTATGGACATACCTGTAGCGCCCTAAACCAGGGCCCAAGTCCTGAGCATAGTTTGGATGTCAGCGTTTGGGAGAAAGGAGGTGAGACAAGAGTTTCAATTCTGTGTATATAACCCCTTGCATCAAGAATAAAGGAACATGCTTCCATTAGGACCAAACCCAGTCCTGACATCCTTCCAGGCACTAAGGAAAGCAACCAGAGGAAATCTGGCAGGGGAGACACTGTGCTTCAGGGGAAAGACTGGAGGCTTTTAAATTCCATCACACCCTTCTAGTAATACCTCCGCGTTTGCTTTCCTGCAGACAAGCTTGGAGGCCTAAGCAGTCAAGCTCTCGCCTCTCCCCAGTCACCCCAAGAGGAAAGAAACCTGTCAGCTTTCCTAAAAGGGAAAAGGAAAAAAGAAAACAAAGCCAAAGGAAAAGCTGAAGTTGCGTGTCCTCTGAAGGCACGGGCGGGGGAGGCAGGTTTTGCGCGGAGGCACTGCTGGACCCTGGGGAAGGGAACCTGTGTGCTTCGAGTTGGAAAACATTAAGTGCAGGGAAGTTTTAATGAGCTTTAGCAGCTCTTTGATAGTCGCTGATGTTGAGGTGGCAATGGAGCATTTGAAATGTAAGCTTTCGAAGAATAAGCTTTTTAGGAAGCGGTGTTCCCTCTTGCCATCCCTTCGCTTTGGGGATATTCAAATCAGGCCTTCAGTCATCCCATGGGGGGTACGTGCCTTCCTCTGGAGGGGCCAGAGCAACGTGAATATGAAACCTCGCAGAAGGCCCCAGCTCCTGCTGGTTATCAGCTGCTGCTCCGGGCAGTAGTAACTGCAAGGGCTTCACCGAGATGGATCGAGAAGGGATGCAGTAAAAGGCATAAAATTAAAGACAAGATTAATAAAACCTGATGAAAGAAAACACCACGAGCCTACCTAGCAGCTTAAGTGACATTTACCACATCCGACAGGGAGGGGGTAATTGTGAGTCATACGTCCAAGCTCTGGAAAGAAATGACAGGCTAAGTAACTTAACGGCAGACAACGCCAGGGGAAGTCACTGATTCACCTTCCCAGAGAAGACTCAAGACAGGATATAAAACCCATCAATCACACCGAGGCCAATTTCACTTGGGAGGGCCCCTGGACAGTCTAGGATCTGGATTCCCAAACAGCCTCCAAGCTCTGCCCAGTGCCAGCGATGGGCGGCACCACACAGGCTGCCTCCTTCCAGCTGCACCTTCCAGTCCAGCCTGACTTCACCCCAAGGCATGGTGGCTGTTGTCACCACAGTCCAACTGTAGTGTGACCAGGCACAGTCAATCATTAGGTGAGGACTGTCCTGCCGTCCCTTGTTTGTTTCTGCCCCATCAGCCTGGGCCACTCTATGCTGCTGCAGCTGTCTCAATGCAAACGGGTCCTGGAACCTGCCTGACAGGTGAGTCTGAGCCCCAAACAGCACCCGTCCTGTTATCTACAGGTTCCTCCAGCCTCCTCCCCCAAAACACCCTAAGTTCCCCAACTCCCAGCTGTTTCTCACTACAGCTTAGCAGGGAAGCTATCTGATTTGACCAGCTCACACTAATCCTCCAAGTATTCTCTCTTTTTCGACAGCAGGCCAGGTAATGCAAATGAACCACGTAGGACAGGCTCTCAGCCAGTTCAGGAGAGGTCAGGGGCCTCCTGTGGGCCTTACATGCATGACAGACCTCATGAGAAGAGGAGGAAAGGCTTCATCACCACACTCTCTCCTGCATCCCAACCATCACTCAGTGGACAGAGAGCTCACCCCATCAATAAACAGGATAACTCCCTCCTGCAGAGACAGCGAGGGGCTGTAGCTGTCTGGCTTTAAGCCAAGGAAGACCCCAGAAAGCCAGTCCTGCTCTTAGCAGAGGAATTCCTTCTGCTCAAAGACTAAAGGAGCACAGGAACTCGGGTTTCAGATGCGGGAGTCTTCAGAGGAGGGGTCTTCAGAAACTCTGTTCCCTCACGTCCTCACCCTGAGCGAAGCTCCCTTGGTCCTGCCTGCCTCTCACCCCGTTCATCTCCAGCAGGGAGTTCTTAGAGCCCCTGGCTGATTGGCTTCCCACCTTATGGCTGCGAGGAGGCCCTGCTTCTTCCTCAGGACCCTCCCAGCACAGCCATCCCTGACCCTAGCCCGGGGGTAAGAGGGTCTCAATGAAAGAAGGGTGCGAAAGTGAGGAAGGGTCTTTGGAGAAGTTGCAGTACCAGAGCACCTGCCTCCTCCCGGGACAAGCCTGATCATCTGAGTTCTTCCTCATATAGCTTCCACCTTGAAAAAATGGGGGTGGGGGTAATTTCTCCCAGAAAGTCTTCAGCATGAGGGGGTTCTGCAGATAATGAGGAGTTCTGTTTTTCTTGGGTGACTATTAGAGCTAGTCTAAGGAAAGACTGGGACTCCATTCCACCAGATTAAAACTTAAGCTAACCAGAAACTCAGCTCGCCAGAATCCTTAATATATCAGACTTTTTTCCCCTTGCTCTCTGCTCTTTAGAAATGGAAAACTTAAAAGAAAACAAGCACAAAGTTGCACCCTCACCTACCCGTCCGCCTGTGAACATTCATCAAGTACATAGGATTCTGTCAGAGGCAGCATGTGAATACCCCTGGCTCTACCCGGGGGGGCAAAGTCCAGGTGTTGTCCCATGTGATGCCCGTCTGAGTCTCCAGCCCGGAGCCGGCCTGTGCTCCGAATGCAGCACCAGCATTGCCTCAGGCTGCAAAGACTCAAGTCTCTACTTATGAAAAATCTGCTCGCTTCGATCGGCAATGAATTCAACCCAGAGTTCTGGAAGGACACCCATCAAACTGTTAACAGCGACGGTCGGCAGCAAGTGGGAGCACCGTGAAGAGGAACTTTTCCTTTCCCGCTACCTAATTCTATGTTGCTCTTTTGTCTTTAAAAAAAGAAAAACACACAGAATATATTCATGGAGCCCTTTAAACATTAAAAATAAATGAATACATGGCCAAAACAAGGAAAAGGAAGTGACTGTTTTCAACAATACGGCCCAGACTCAGCAAGGTTTCTGATGGGGGCTGAGATCCGAGGGCACAGCTAAGCAGGAAGGCGTCCACCCTCAGCCACGAATAGTAACGAATAGCCCGGAACAGAGCCAGGCGTTCGGGAAGTTCTCTTCAGGGATGGAAACAGCTCCATCTCTCTTGCTGCTCCCTTCCAGTTTTCTGACCTCGATGTCAAGAGCTTCCATGTCTCCAGCACCCCCAGCTCATCCACTTACCCTCTTTGACCCCTGGGAGGTCCCTGGTTCAGCAGAGGGGGCCCATGCCGCCAAGCTCACGTGGCCTTGGGTGGCCCCCAGTGCTTACTGAGCGCCGTCCTAGTCACCTCACTCCGGCACCTCTCAAAGCTTTCCCCGGGTTAAAGATGGGGACCTTCCTCAGCGCAAGAGCCTGACCAGCAACTGAAGACCCTTGTGCCAGAGGCAGAGGTCAGTTTCTGGCCGATCCATCCCAGAGGCTGCCCTCCCACCTCTCCCTGGCAGAAGCTCAGAAAACAGGAGCCGGGCCACAGAAAGAGCCGCCAAGGTTCTCCCTGCCACTCATTCATCACCGAGCCACTGGCGGGCTTACCTGCAGATGTAATTCGTCTTGCAGGAGTCCTGCAAATTCAAGCAGTTGGGCTTCTCCCTCTCCTCGTAGGAGCACACAGGCACGATGGTCTGCCGCCTGCGCTCGGTGCAGGCGATGTCCCTGCAGGAGCAGAAGAGCATCCCGTAGCTGTGCTTGGCCGGCACCTTGTCGAAGAACTGCCGGAGGGCCTTGTGGCACTTGCGCCGGTTGCAGACCTCGTTGGACATGCTGGTGGTACACGGGGTGATGTAGGCGGACCTGTACTTCTTGCAGGTGTCGTCCAGGTTGCAGGCCTTGGCGGCGTCCAGGCAGCTGTTCCCTTTCGGGATGTGCTCCACTGTGAAAGGAGAGAAATGCAGGCATGATCACAGGGCTGGACGCTGGTGCTGCTCACCTGTCCTGTTTACACTGAAATCTGCCCGTTCACCTGGCAGTGCTGGCAGCTCTGATCAACACTGCGTTTGGAAGCTAATAGCTTAATGAGTTCATGACAATGAGGAGGTACTAGGAACGCAAAGCCTGGGAGCCCGGGGCAATACACAAGCTCCTAGCATCGTCTCAGATGTATAATTACGAGGCATTGAGTGAGGCCAAAGGAGCTCAGACACCTGCCCGACTAAGGTTTAAACAAGACGACAGGAGAACAAGTTTCCAGCTCCTAGTTGGTAAACTGAAATTAGGATAAAAGAAAAAAGCAACAAATTATATACTTGTTTATTATATAAAATATAAAATGATACGCTGAATGTAAGTATAATTGCCATGCAATCCTCCAGGAATATAATTATGTAATAAATGCACATAGTACATGCTAATTACTGTATGATTACAGAGTAATTGCATGGTTATTTGAGCCCAGAAGACAAAATATTATGCCAGCTTTCTAAACAGGAAGAAGCAATACAATGAAGCTGTATTTAAGTTCGAGCTCAGAGGCCATTGGAAGAAAACCAGAATAAATTACATAAAAATCTGCAAACCTCAATTACATTGAATTTACCACATAGAAAATGTGGGATCTATGAGTACTGAGGTTGCAGATTAGAAAAAGTCAGCTAGTATTTTGGATAGAATTTCAATCGGCTTATAAACCATAGGCCTTAGGAATCTCACAAAACATACGCTGACTTGTGTCTAAGCCCTCTGTGCTCATGAGGTCAGAGAAGCCAGGGCTGTCCACTGCCAGGCTCCCCGCTGTGGAACCCAGAGAGAGAGCATGGAGGACGCAGGGCCCTCTGGTAGGCTGGGTGGGCTGGCAGGGCCAAGACCAATAGGCAAAGTTAAAAGATGAAAGGGCAAGGGAAATCAAGCTCATTTTCCATGATATAGGTGTTTCTATGGAGAGGGGAAATGATGGAAAAACCGCCCAGCACCAAGTTATAAGATGGCCATGGAAAACTGATAATTAGGTGTAGCAATGACCTTCCGGAGACAGAAAGGAGGTAGCAGACAAGCATCACACAACTGTGGGATTCAAGCCCCAGCAAGTTCCTGCTCAGGCCTCAGCCTCTTCTTGGTTCTGAAACCTTCTTTCATTCTCTTTACACCCCCAGTTGATGGGGACCATGAAGGCATTTGAGAATTCACAAGAGAGGAGAAGGAGTCCAGCTGGGTGGGGTGCGACTGAAAGACAGGGCGGTGCATTTAGCATACGTCAAAAGGGCATGTGGAATATTACTCAGCCTTAAACAAGGAAAGAAATTTGCCATAGTCAACAACATGGATGAGCCTTGAGGACATTATGCTGAGTGAAATTGTCCCAGGAGGACAAATACCATATGATTCCATGCATACGAGGTATCTAAAACACTCAAACTCAGAGAAACAGAGAGTAGAATCATAGTTACCAGAGGCTGAGGCAAGGGGGAAATGGGGAGTTGTTATTCATGGGGTACAAAGTTTCAGTTATGTTAAGATGAACAAGTTCTAGAGATCTGCTGTACAGCACACCTACAGTTACCAATACTGAATCTGTTAAGAAGGTAGATGTCATGTCACATGTTCTTACTAAAATAAAATACAATTTTATATAAGTAAACAACACACACAAAAGTCAACATTTCAGGGAATGAAAAACCCTCCCTGGTCTACTGACAGTGTGCCCTGCTTTAAGAACACCCAATATGCAAAAATCTGAAATCACAAAATTATACCCTGGCACCACGAGCAGTATTGTACAATGCCCCAGGTTCGTGTTTCTGCCTACGACAGTTGAGTCCAACAATGTGATGTGGAAGGCACTGAACAAGACATTCAGCCCTCCTTAGGTGAGCAGTGCAGGAAGCTGGCAGGTGCACGTACATCCTGCAGGTTTAACAAGCCCGCCTGGTGCTTTCTCCATCATGACCTTCCCAAAGCGGTTTCTCTCTGGCTGCTCTGTGTTCACACACAGGCACTTCAGGACTCAAGGAGTGAAATATTCACCATGTGCCCTGACAGGGTCACCAGGGGGCCTCCACCAGGCTTTGGTGACACTTCTAGCCTCTTCCTCTTTTAAGACTTCTCATGTGCTGCTGGGCCCACTGGTTATATTCTTAGGAGAGATTTTTATTCTTGAAAGTCTACAGCTTGCTAGGAGATTTCTAAATTATGCATTTTGTGCAGGATAATAATTTCAAATCAATTAATATGCCCAAATTCTGGATCATATGGATTAAGCCCTTAAGGTTGGAAGCTGGTACACAATTTCACTGCCTGCATTTATTATTTGCATTGGTGTTCATGGTACTTTATGATCTCTGGTTAAAAAGAAAAGACTACAGGCACAGAGGTGGACTTAATACTTGACTTTTGTAGCCAATGATATAAGAAAATATGGTTCATGGAAGTTCAGATAGAGAAAAATGGCAGAAGAATGAAGTCATCACATGGCACCCAGTAATGCAGGCCTGCCAGACTCAGAAGAACTCATGCTGAAACAGAGAACCACAACCCGACTGTAGGCACCAATTCAGCTTCAGCCAAACAATGTCATCCCTTATATTAAACTTATGTTATCAACTTGCATTTCATTGTCCCTAAAGCTGTGTTCATACTTAATTTGTGTGTGCTGCTTTTATAGTTGGATACAAGCAAAGAATAAGAGGTGATAATTTTATGCTTATAAACTTCAAATAAAATTATAATAAAAATAAAAAAACTCAATCCATGAGGTCCAGAAAATTTATCTCTCTCTGAAAGTTATCCATGTAATACACAAGTTTTTAAAAAAACTGGCCTAGAAAAAAGCCCTTTGACACGGGCCTTGGCAATGATTTTTTTAATACAACACAAGCAATAACAACAAAAAATAAACAAGCAGGATTACATCAAACCAAAAAGCTTCTACTCAGCAAAGGAAACCACAAACAGAATGAAAAGGCAATGTATGGAATGGGAGAAAGCATTTGTGAGTCATGTTTTGATAAGGGGTTAATTTCCAAAATAAATAAAGAACTCATACAACTCACTAGCAAAAGCAGTAATAATAATGATAATGATAATAATAATAACAACAACAATTTCATTAACAAATAGACAGAGGACCTGAGTAGACATTTCTCCAAAGAAGGTATACAGAAAAGATGGTCAACGTCACCAATCCGTAGGGAAATGCAAACCAAAACCACAATGAGATATCATCTCAGGCCCGTTTGAACAGGTATCATCAGAAGACAAGCTAACAAATGCTGGTGAGATTGTGGAGAAAATGAGAACCTTTGTGCACTGTTGGTGGGATTGTAAATTGGTACCGTCACTACAGAAAACAATGTGGAGATTCCTCAAAAAATTAAAAATAGAACTCTCATGTAATCCAGCAATTCCACCTCTGGGTATACATCTGAAGGGAACAAAATCACTTTGTTGGAGAAATACCTGCACGCACATGTTCACTGAAGCATTATTTACAATAGCCAAGACAAGGAAACCACCTAAGTGTTCAACAAGGGATAATCAGATAAACATGCGGCATATACTCTCCATGGAATACTACCCAGCCATAAAAAGGAAGGAAATACTGTCATTAGCAACAACATGGGTGGACTTTGAGGGCCTTATGCTAAGTAAAGTAAGTCAGAAAGAGAAAGACAAATACTGTATGATCTTACTTATATGTGAAACCCCAAAAAAGCAAAAACAAAAAACAAACTCATAACAAAAAAAAAAAAAAAACAGGATAGGATTTGTGGTTACCGGAGGGAAAGGGTAGGGGTATTGGATGACAGAAGTCAAAAGGTGCAAACTTCCAGTTATAGGATAAGTAAGTACTAAGGAGGTACTGTACAACATGATAACTGTAGCAGACACTGGTTTGTTTACTGTGTATTTGGAAAGTTGCTAAAAGAGTAAATCCTAAAAGTTCTTATCATAAGGAAAAAAACACATTTTTTCTTCCTTTTTGTATATTTATATGAGGCGATGGATGCAAACTTACTGCGGTAATCATTTTATAATATATATAAGTCACATCATCATGCTGCATACCTTAAACTTCACAGTGTGGTATGTCAATTATATCTCAAGAAAAGTGAAAGAAAAAAATTGGCCTAGTGTATGCCTGCTCTGTTAAATAATGTTAACTTTCTGTTTTAAAGTTGTTAGAACTACAGAAGCTACTAAGTAATTTTTTCCTTCTTAGTATTATCAAAAAAGAAAAGCTATATTTCAAAGGAAAAGTTTTGTATGAAACGGTAACAGAGTGGACCAATTGCTCATAGTTCACTCCATTTAGTAATTGGTATGACTCAGCCTCACTTTCAGTTGATAAATATCAGTGAAATACCACTTCCAGAGCACCACCTCCTCCCCATGATTTCAGGGCCTGTGACAAATTCCAGAATGCATAACCTGGCCCATTCAGAGAGGCAAAAACCTACTAACTGATTTCTAGCTCACAGGTAAATGTGTGACTTTCTTGTTGCTTCTAATTCTCATTCACACAAAACATTCTCATGACCCTTCCCAACTTGCTATATGAAGTTAGCATTACCCAAATAGCAGAACCTGACAAAGAAAAAAGAAGAAAAATCACAGACTAATATTCCTTACAAATATAGATTCCAAAAGTTTAGTAAACAGTATTTACCAATATGTTAAAAGGATAATGCACCATGACCAACTAAGGTTTATCTCAAAATGCAAGATCAGTTTAATATTAAACAATCAATGTAATTCACTTTATTAGCAGGCAAGAAGAGAATCATATGATTATTTTAATAGACAAAGAAAAAGTATTCAACAAGTTTCAACACTCATTCCATAATTTTAAAAAATGCTCAGCAATCTTAGTAGAGAATCTTCTTAATCTGATAAAAAGTACTTATGAAAAATCTATAGCTAAAATCATATTTCATAGTG